GGGCAAGGACTGCTGGTGGACTGGACATAGATTATTTGGGGTTGGGCAGCTATGTTTGAGTCAGCTCATGTGGCCTTTCCATCAGTCTTGGGGCTGTGAATATCTAAGCCTTCTCAAGTTTGGATATGGCAGGTTGGGGTAGAGGCCCAAGTGTGAGGACCACATCTTGCTACCTGTCATGGGACCCCGAGCCACTGCATGGTCAGAAGAGGAGATCCCTGGGGGAGAGAAAGGGAGGATCCCAGGGGCAGAAGGGGAGGTCCTAGGTGCAGGGAGAAAATTCCTTGCAGACCTTTGCTGAGAAGACCCTGAGAGAGCTGGGTCTTTCCTTGCAAACAATTCCCCCTTTCATTTTAAGTTTTTGTGGAGTCTGTTTCCATGAAACTCATTCAACTTTTCAGAATTATGAAGCTGAGGAGGCTGCTGTCTGTGTGGGTGCTGGGCAGCAGGCTGTCTTGTCTGCTCCTGGCCTTTGGGCTGCAGGGGCTCTGATAGCTCATCCTTTCCTTCATCCTGGGTGGGCTCATCTGGGGCTCAGCAGCTGCTCTGTGTTGTTTTAATCCCTTCACCCCATATTTCTGCTCTATTCTCAAGTTCTCTTCAATTGCTTTGTCACTTCTCTGGCTGTCACCATGATAATCTCAGTCTCATCCACTCGATATGTAGCCATCAAGAGCTTACTGTTGGGGCTGAAGAGATGGCTCAGAGGTTAAGAGCACTGGCTGCTCTTCCAGAGGTCCTGAGTTCAATTCCCAGCAGCTATCTGGTGGCTCACAAACCATCTATAGTGCCCTCTTCTGGTGTGCAGGCATGCATCAGGCAGAACACTCTATATAAAACAAATAAATATTAAAAAAAAGAGCTGTTTGCCATCAAAGACACTTGAGAAAGAACAGGGACATGGTGGGGACATGTGTCCTGGTTGGAAATGGAGACAGAGAGATAAGCAGACACAGGGGTATGGCAGTGAGTGATTGAGATGTCGATAGCAGAGCCTCAAGTCAGGTGAACTCCCCTCCTCTTTTCTTTTACTAGAGGCCAGACATCTGTCCTTGAACCCTTCCTTGGCCCCACAGTCTTCCAGAACTATAGGTTTGCCTGGGTTTGATCACTAATGCCCTAGGGAAGACCTTCGAGGGAGAGGCTGCTGGTCAAGAGCAACCTCTGGTGTCAGCCGATACCTGGAAGGACATAATCTAACCTTTATCCTTCCTTCTAATGCTGAGAAGAGAAACCTAACCTTTATGTTCTCAGCCTCCCTTGCAGCTAGACATGGCCATGTAACCCAATGTGAAGTGAGTAGACCTTCTTTGGGGGAGAGCACCCATCTTCTAATGAAAAGACAAAGGTTTCCAGGGAGAAACCTCATGACTTGAATTCTTTGGCTTTTCTCTTCATTCTTTTTGGAAATATGGCTATGAAATCTGATACACAGCAGTTGTGATGTACTCTGAGGGGAAGGAGAGAAGAGAAGAAGAGGAGAGAAGGAGGTGAGAGAAAAGAGAAAGAGAGAGAGAGAGAGAGAGAGAGAGAAAGGGAGAAAGAGAAGGAAACCAGTTCTGGTGGGTGTCTCTTAGGGTTTCTATTGTGATATTGACCCAAAGCAACTTGAGAAGAGTTCATTTGTTTATTTATTTGGTTTCTCAAGACAGGGTTCCTCTGTAGACCAGACTGGCCTTGAACTCAGAGATCCACCTGCCTCTGCCTCCTGAGTGCTGGGATTAATGGCATGTGCCACCACCGCCCAACTAGAAAGGGTTACTTCAGTTTATGGTTCCACATCACAGTCCATTATTTCATCAAAGGATGTCAGGTTGGGAGCTGATGCAGAGGCCATGAAGAAGTGCTGCTTAGTGGCTTTCTCCCATGGTTTGCCTAGCCTGCTTCTTTATAGAGCCCAGAGCTACCCACCCAGGGAGGCTGGGCCCTCCCACATCTATCATTTATAAAGAAAATATTCTATAGAATTGCCCACAGGCTAATCTGATGAAGGCATTTCCTCAGCTAAGATTCCCTCTTCCTAGATACGTCTGTACATCTAGGTTTGTGTCAAATTGACGAAACCAACCAGCATGATATATCTGCTAAGTCTGCCAGCTCTGTGCCTTCCCAGTCCTCTTAAGTGTGAGAACTATACCACTGAGCATGTGCAAAAGTGGGTGGTGTACAGAGAAACCCTTAACCCATCCTGAGAGCAGAAAAGCTCCTGAAAGTGGGTGGAATGCGAGGCTGCTTTGTTTCAGTTAGAGTCTACACCTCTCCCTAGAATTCACCACACTCCTAGCACCTGCTTCCTGGGCATCCTCAGGGCCTGTCCATCAAAGTAACTGGCTATGATTTTTGCTGTGGGGTGTCTGGCACTGTCGGGACAAGCAGCCTGGTAGGTGAAGCAGGGTGGGAAGTGATTTATTTTGTTTTTCAAGACAGGGCTTCTCTGTGTAGCTTTGGAGCCTATCCTGGAACTCATTCTGTAGACCAGGCTGGCCCAGAACTCACAGAGATCCACATGCCTCTGCCTCCCGAGTGTTGGGATTAAAGGTGTGCACCACCACCTCTCGGGCAGGGAAGTTATATTGAGGGCTGGGAGTGTGAAGCTGAAGGCTTCTGGGCTGTTGGAGTCACAGAATGGGCATTGTGGTGCTGGGGCCTGGGCTGAAGACCACAAGAGGGTTCCTCAGCATGTTGTAGGGCTTGGGGTGCAGGCAACTGCATGTGGCAAGGGTCCAGGGGATTTAGGAAGGAGGTAGTGAAGAGCCATAGCCATGGGTTGCAGGTGGGAGAGAACCAAGTGTGTGCCTGGAAGGACCCTGACTGGTGACACTTTGGATGTGTCTCCAGGCTACAGAGTGAGCAGGTCCCAGTTCCAGGCTCTGAAAGGACTTCACAAGACTGCATTCTTAAGGCTCTGCCTGCTGCAAGCAAGCACACAGTGCTGCAGGTAGTCTCTGAAGGCTCCACGCGCCTGTAGCTTCCCATGGCCCTAGGCCCCCCTAAATCCTGAAGATGCCACACAGCCTCACGGTATCCTCTCCTCTTTGTGCGAGAGACCTGCTCACCAAATTTAGAAGCCAGCAAATACAGCCTGGAATTATTTGCAAAGGCCTTGGTTCCAAGGTCAGGAGACTGAGGCCTGGAGTGGTCATACATTTGGGTGGATGCCATTGAGCTCACTTTCGGGACAGGGCACTGTGTCACATGTGAACCCCGAAGTTTGCTGAACACCCCTTTCAGATCATAGGAGCTGGTATCTGACTCTTAGGCTGTTGGCTACCAGGGCTCAGTTCCTGCCTGGAGTTGGCTGAGCACTGACGTAGGTACTGACCACAGTGGCTCTAATGTTCCCCGTAATTGCATTCCCAGGTCCAGGAAACTCTCCCTTGCCTCCCAGAGACATGCAGAGAAGGGCCAGTAATTAGATCTACCTTCCCAAATTGCTCCTTTTCAGGGTTGGAAGTAATTTTCTGTCTGGGAATAATTAACTTTGAGGACCTGGGTGAAGTCTGCGGGAGGATGAAGGTGGCTGGAAGCCTCACTTAAGAAGGCTGGGAGCTAAGCCTTGGGCCATGGGTGGCCATGTCAGAACTAGGCCCCAGGTATCCAATTACCTAGTGGTCCTGCCTGCCACCTCCTGATGACTCCCATAGCTTTCCAGAATAGCTCTGTTTTTCAATGCCACCTTCAGGGACTGCACTGCAGGTGACCTGGGCCTTGGGGACAGAGAAAGTGGATTTAAGTCCAGACCTAGTGCTTTCATAGTGGGTCATGTGACCTGTTAAACCTAGCCTTCTTCTAGTGGTGAAGTCATGGGGACTGCGAGGTGTGTATGTACCAGCGTGGTCCATGGCAGCTGCTCAGGAAAAGCATCCAAAGTGCCAGTCCTGATGAAAGAGGTGATAGGGCGGGGTTGGGAAGGACACGGTGTATTGGCTATCCTCATGATCTCCCAGGTGACCATGGAAACTGAGGCCAGGAAGGGGCAGAGAGGCCGAGGAAACTGGTGATTCTCGGGGGGTTCCCAGGGCTGACTTCCAGAAGTCTGTCCCCTTGTTTCCTCATAGGCTCCAGCATTCCTGTTCACCTCAGGCAGGGGCAGAGACCTTCAGTCAGGGCTACCTTAGGCCCAGGGAGAATAGCTAAGGAAACTCCCCCCCCCCCCCCCCCCCCCGCTTATCCTGCAAACTGAGGCCTAAGGGGCATGGGTGCCTATCCAGTGGCCCACAGGATAGAACTGTGGGTTTGCCTTCTAACTGGGACTTGTGGTGTGCTATAGGCAGATTCCAGATCTTTCTGTCACTAAGTGACCTTTGGATCAGGAGCCTGTCTAAAGAGATAGCCATAGCTGGGAGGCAAGGTGACTGATGTTTAGTGGGGTAAGGATATCTGCTGGGTCCCTGTGGATCTTGGGATAAGACTGTATGTTTCCTGTGGTGGCACACACAAAATGCTTAAGTGTTAATGAAGTCCCTTGTGGCATATCCTCAAGTGATCAGTGACAGGCAGGGTCCAATGTCCAAGGAAGGGTGTCCCATTGAAGCTTCAGACTCCAGCCTGAGTCTCAGGTGTTCCACAACAGCCCTGAGAAGGACTCTAGATTGGACAGTGGCCTCAGCTGAGGTGGGGTTCAGGCCCTGTGAAAGTCCATGATCTTGGGAGACCCAGAGATCCAAGACAGTGGCAGCCGAGCAGAGGCTGGGGTGTAAGTTTTCTTTTTTTTTTTTTTTTTTCTTTTTTTTTTTTTTTTTTCAGCTTGTAGGAACTTTATTTTCCTCCCACCTTTTTGCCCTTTGCTCGGGTGTCTGCAGAGCAGTTCAGGACCACTCAGTGGTGGCTCCAACCCACTCGGTGGCCTGTGCTGTGGGAGCTGCTGACCAGTCCTCAGTGACTGGCTGGGCACTCCAGTCTTCAGTAGGAAAACAGCTGGGTGGGTACAGAGGGCACCTGCACACCCTCAGACCAGTCAGCCACCTCTGGCTGAGCAGCAGTGAACTCGGTGCTGGCACTGTCCATTCACCCTGAAATTCCTCCTTGGTCACAGCCTTCTCGGCAGCAGCCTGCTTCTCCTTCTCAATCTCCTCTGGGTCTCTGTAGAAGTAAAGGTCAGGCATTATCTCCCATGGGTGATCACAGGAGATAATGCCATGCATGCAGAGTACTTCCTGGGCCAGCATCCACCACATCAGGACCACTGAGTGAGTTGTAAGTTTTCATGGTTAGGGTAGGGGCATATCAGCCAGTGGGGTGGGGGTGCATAGCTCATGGCCATGGCTCCTTCAGACCTGGGTGGTATCAGCCACCATTATGGGGGTTGAGTAAACCAGGGGGAGCCTCAGGGTGAGAAGGGAGTAGGACAGAATTTAGTGTGGGAGCAAGACTCCCTGCAGTAGAGGGAACACATAACACTTCATACGTGAGCAAGGCAGAAAGCTGCCAGGAGACAGCAGCTGAGGACTGCACCCAAGAGCCAGAGACAAGGCAGGCCACGATGCTGTACATGCTATAATGGTGGTTGGCTGGGACATTTCCAGCCCCAGAGCCTGAGCCAAGATCCCACAGGCCTATCTACCTGGCCTCAACCTTATTGTCATGTTCCTGTGGTGGGGAACTCACCCCTGCATCACAGTGTAGACTCTGGGTCCCTGACCCTGAGCAGAGCTTACCTCTGTATGGTGTCCCCCTGGGAACTTTTATTCCAGTTTCCTAGGAGAAATGCTGATGCCTGCCCACAACTCTCCATGTTTTCTGTCTACATCAGATTGTGTTCACAACATTGGCATCTGTTTACTGAGGGTTCTCGGGTAGGCTCAGGGCTGGGCACCTGTGTGTCTCAGGTCTTCTCAGGCCCTGGTGCCTCATGTCTTAGAGTGGGACTCTTCCTACTCAGGGGGCCTCAGCACCGGGTCTAGCAGACCCATCACCTGTGCTGTTAACAAAGGCAGGGAACAGATGAATGTCTCTATGAGAGCCAGCTCTCTCTGTGCCCTCTGCATGGCCAGCAGGAGCTACATCCTCCCACAGGCTCTTCCAAATTGTGCCCACTTCTTATCTGCCATGCCCCCAGCTTTCTCCTTCTTAGGTATCTATCTATCTATCCTACCTGCTCTAGCCATCTGACTCCTCTGTTGCTCTTCCAGTGCTCCAAGCCTGCCCACTGTTGTCATAGAACCTTTGATTTGCATTGTTGCATGCTCCTCCCAGGGCGCCCCTGCCTCAGATCTTCATGTGTTGGCTCCTCCCCCACATGAGCTCCTAGGAAGACTCTCCCTGGCCACTCAGTCCCAGTGACTTAACATTTCTCAACTATCCCCAGCAGAAGGTCAGCTCCTGCCCAGGTAGTGGTGGCACATGCCTTTAATCAAAGCAGAGGCAGGCAGATCTCCATGAGTTCAAGGCCAGCCTGGTCTACAGAGTAAGCTCCAGGACAGCCAGAGCTACACAGATACCCTGTCTCGAAAAAGAAAAAAAAAATTAGCCATGGGTTCAAGTCATACATTAAATTAAATGCTCAGCTGTCTGCCGACTGCCCTGTGCCCTGTGGCCTGGAGGTCTCGAGAAATGGGGAGAATGGAGCTTGCTGCAGGAGGGGTGGTGGAGAAATGGCCTAATGGCTAAGAGTGCTTGCTGTAGTACTTTGATGAATGGAATTCTACTTCCAGCAGTTATGCAACAAGCATGGTACCCTGTGGACATGTGCAATCTCAGCTCCAAGGGACAGGTGGACCCAGAAGCTCACAACAGTGTGCTGGCTTCCAGCCTCGCCAAGAAAACATGAGCCCCAGTTTCAGGAAGAGACTTTGTCTCAAAAAACTAGGCAAAGGGTGCTAGAACCTCCCTCTGGAACCCTCTTCTAGTCTCTGTGCACACATAGGCACTTACACAGACACACAATGCATATGTAAATAAGTCTAAAAAAAAACCGGCAGCCAATTCTGGCACCAGCCACCACCAGGCTATATGAAAGTGAATCATCAGAGGTGGTCCTGCCTTTTGCCACGGAGCAGAGGCCTAACTGGGTAGCTAGAGTCCTTGGCCAGCGCTGGGCACAGATCCTGTGGGCTCGGCTTGCAAGCACCTGCCCCTCCTTCTGCCGCCACATGTGTAGTTTGATTTAGGGAGGGAAGTTGCGATTTTCTTCCATGGTGTTACCACTGATAGTCTATTTCCTGCTTGTTGCTGGATGCTGTGTTGGCATTAATGTAGAAAAATTAGCACCATCAGGGCTGTGTTTGGAGCCATCCCTCACTCTGGAGTCCCTGACGCGTTAATTAAACTTGATAAATGCCTCTGTGTAAAGGTAACTTTTGAACAAAGGATCCACTCACCCTATTATTAGTTGGATACATGCTCTGGTAAATTGCTTGGAAGGCACTCAGTGTCCCAGGGGCAGAATCTGGGGCCTGTAGACCTGTGTCATAGGGAGAGGGGGCTGCCCACAGCCCTGGCTTTCAGGCTGGCTGTGCTGTGATGGGATGGCCATGGGTCTTGCAGGCATTCCACGCTGGGGGAGATTTTATGGACCAGACCAACTGCAACTTGAAACTGCAGCTGGATGCCATGGGGGAGTTGAGAGAGAGAGAGAGAGAGAGAGAGAGAGAGAGAGAGAGAGAGAGAGAGAGAGAAAAGGAGGGAGGACGAGTGAGCACACTCCAGGGGTATGACGTAACACCCCAAGGACACAGCCCCAGAGACCTACTTCTTCCAGCTAGTCCTCATTTTCTAATGTTTCCTGAATCTCCCCAAATAGCATCACTAGCTGGGGGGCCAAGGCTTTAGTGCATGAGCATGTGGGGGCACTTCACATTCAAGGCATCATAGACACGAACCTCTGAAGATTAGGAAGAAGGGGCCTGGAGAGGTGTCTCAGTAAAGTGCTTGCTTTGTAAGAGTCAGGACCTGAGTTTAATCCCCAGACCCATTGAACAAAAGCTAGACATGGTCGTATTGCTGTTATCCCAGCAACAGAGAGGTGGGAGGTAGAAACAGGCAGATTCCTGGATACTCTCTGAGTGGTCTGGCTCCATCTCGGCAAAGCTCCAGGCCTGTGAGACTGTCTCAAACAAGAAAACAAGAACAACATCAAATTGTCTTCTGATCTCCACATGCATGTGTGCACCCCACACACACACACACACACACACACACACACACACACACACACACACACACACACACACACACGTGAGAAGACCCAAGGGGGTAGCTTAGTTGGTACAGCGCTAGCCAAGCACACATGAGTCCCTGGGTTCAAAACCCACCACAAACTAAACCAGATGTGGTGGAGACAGGAAGATCACAGGTTCAAAGTCATCCTTGGCTACACAAGGAGCTTGGGTCCAACCTGGGCTACATGAGACTCTGCCTTCTACATTAGGAAAAAAATCAAGAAAGAGAAAGTTATAGGACACAGATTACAGAAACTTCACCTCAGGAGGAATTGTAGGATGATGATTCATGGGATGGTGAAGTGGCCAACAGCCCAGATGTGAGTGCCAGGGGTCAAGAGAGAGCCACAGAGAGACAGACAATGGCTGGAGTCGGGGGAGGAGATCTTAAAACTAGAATGAGATAAAATGCAACAAGTTAAGAGTGGCATTGAGAGGGGAGAGCTCTGTGCCATCTCTTCGCTTATAACTGTCACTAGCCTGCCTTTGGCCATTAGTCACATGACCATTTCTGAGTCTGTTAGGATTATGAAGGGACCTTGGCAGGATGCTGGACAGATGGCAGGGTATGAGAGGGTAAGGTGTGGTGGTTTGGAGAGGTCCTTACCTCCATAATGGGCATCAAGGGAGGATGCCCAAACCTCAACTTACCAAATACACACACTACTGAGAGGGCACCGGTGGATCTGAAGTGTCCCCAAAGGCCCATGTGCTAAAGGCACTTGGACCTTAGCCAGGCACTGTTGGGCAGTAGGGGGATCTTTGACTGTGGAGCTTAATGAGAGGTTTTCAGGCCATTGGAGATGTGTCCTTACAGGAGAGAGTGAGATCCCTCCCACTTCTTGGCTTTGCTCCTCCCTTCATGATGTACCATCTGATCAGAGGCCAAAGTAATGGGCTAAATGGGCCCTTGATCCAAATTAACCTCTCCTCCTGTTAAGCAGATTAGCCCATGTATTTTGTTGCAGTCATAGAAAAGCTGACTATTAGACCACGACAGAGGCCAAAACAGTCACAAAAAAGAGTTGAAACAGTTTTTGGGGAGTGAAGGGAAGGGCGTGTGTGAGAACTGCTGATATGGAGAAACAGATGCTAGAGTGACTTGGCTCTTTAACACATGTACGTGTGGGGCTTAGCAAACCACAGCAGAAACATCACAGCAGCCTTGGCTTGTCTCAGAATCTCCGTGATGTCACCACAAACACCTCTTTTCCTCTGGCATGCACCAAGTGTCAGGCTTTAGGCGAGGCATCCAAACATCAAAGTCTTCACAGACCCCCAAGTGCAGCCTTGACCCCCTCAGACCTGCCACAGAGGACCCTTTCTCCATGGACATCCCTGAAGCCAACACTCGGTGCCTGGAGCTCCCTCTGTGGAAAATGCACTGTGCAGCCACTGAACACAGGCCAATCACCGGAGTCCTCCCGAATCTCTTCATGCCCATTGGACCTGTCATTGGGAAATGAGGTTTGAATGCAGACGGGGAGTCTGCCTCCCTGAGCGCAGAAATTACTGTGACGGACACACCACTGGTGACGGTGTCAGCTGCACACAGGACCCTGGTGTGGGTGGGGTTCTATCTGCACTCTGATGTGAGGACACCACATTCCTCTCTCCCTTCAGTGGAAGCACAGCAAAGACAGACAATGCACCCTGATTAGTTTTTCAAAGCCAGTACTCTAAGAAATGCCAATCAATTAGAGGCCATGCTGATCGAAGTTAAAGAAAAGGTAAGAAGCCAGGCGTTGGTGGCTCATGCCTTTAATCCCAGGACTTGGGAGACAGATGCAGGCAGATCTCTGTGAGTATAGCCTGGTCTACAGAGTGAGTTCCAGTAGTACAGTCAGGGCTGTTACACAGAAAAACCCTGTCTCAAAAAACCAAACAAACAAACAAAGAGAAGTGTCTTGTGAGCCACACTGGCTCAGCACAGAAATTTCCAGTAGCCACACTTAAAGGGATAAAGAAATAC